TTTTCTTTTTTTTTTGTAACATCGAAATTTGAAGATGATTTTTTTTTGTTTTCTTTCTTTTTCTCTTCCTTTCTCTCTTTTCAGTTGGATGGTGATGATGAATCAAATCCCGAAAATGGTTGGCTAGAAAAAGATTTCTTCGAAGATGCGCCATTACCTGTATGAAGAATGCTTGGCATGTTTTAAATAATACATCAATAGCTTATCATTTTCATTCATACTGTTATCATCTATCGATGTTATCATAGTGTATGATAATCAGTAAAAATAAGCAATTTATTTTTTTACTTGTATTTATTATGCAGTATTGAATTATATGGATCATGAAAATCATCTTATATTTCATATTTATTGTACATTAATGTAAATTTTATATTAAATTATCCATTTCATGTAATTATTTCCATTACATTCCCTTTCTTTTTCCCTCCTATCAACGAATTTTTATTACCCTTTGATGGACGGTTGTATAGTCTTGAACGTTTGTTTAATTTCATTCTCGATTTGCTGTAATTTGCTGTTTTTCAGTACACTGGAAAATTCTGCTTCTACTCCACAATGACAGGTCTGTGGTACTAGGCACTTGAGATCTATGGTACTTGAAGTTCTAAGACGCCATTTCAAAAATAAAATTTGCTGAAATTTGATTCCATTTCGATACATTTATTTTATATATATATATATATATATATATATATGAATTACTTCTCATCACACAATCTCTGCCACACACCTCCAACTACACTCTTTATAAGCCTTTCTGATAATTTATTCAAATCAACATTTGTGCCAATATATTGATAGCCTATACTATTCCAAACATTCAGTTGTATTTCATTTACGCACGGGTATCAGTCAAAATAAAAGAATCATATCATCACATTGTAACTAATCATATCATCTGCAAAACTAATTTCCATCTTTAAAATATCACAATTAATTAATTATGATTGATGAGAAAGGAAAGAAAATTGATTGAAAATTTGTTAGACTTTAAAATAATAATTTTTTCATTACTAATGCATCACTGCTTCTTTTTTTTATTATTTTTCACAAAATATAAATTGAATCAAATTTATTTTCCTTACAAATAACATAGTAAATGAATCGATAACAAATGCTTTTATTGATTTCCGGATTTTTTCACAATGTGAAAATATATTCCACAAAATTTTTGTTATGTAAAGTTCAATAAAATAGCAGAGGTAGAATATGTTTTAGTTTGGAAAAATGAACTTATACGTTGACATTTTTGGATCGTTTTTAATCAATCATTGTTAAAGTTTATATAATGAATGTTGGGAAATTTTAAAAAATATCAACATTTTGTATAAAAAGCAGAAAAAAAAAAGGAAAAATAAATAAATAATTACAATTTTCAATGTTTAGGAAAAAATTTATTTTCATTATTTAAATTCAAGAATTTCAGTAATATTATCGAAATGGTTCTTTTATTTTAAAAACATTTTTTTTTTTTAAAATGAATCATTTCATGCTTGCTCAATTAAAATTGCAAGCAAATCTTATTTGAAATAAATTATAGGGCAATGAAAATGTTGTTGTTATCAGTAAGCTACTTTACTGATAGCAATGTTGAAATTCGCATCATACATAGCATGTTTTTATTTTTTATTTTTTTAAAAATTTCATCATCAGTACCAGTTTTTCCTTTTTTTCTATTAATATGTTAAAACAGGAAAGTGCATCAAAAATGGTTGTGTATTCATTGGAATTTATTATAGCTGTAAATTATACAATAACCTGTTTGAGTTATATACAAGTTTAAGATAACTCGTTCTCTTATTTTTTTTTTCCTCTCAAAAAATGGTTTATAATAAGATAATGGAAAACTAAACTAATTATTCTATGTTAATCAACATAATTAGTATTTACCATTATACTATAAAACTAATTTAAGAACCATTCAATATACTTTTATTACTGGCTATAACCTTTCTCACCAAAACGGCAATTATATGATTGCATTGGTTATTAACAGTTATTATCATTATTTGTTATTTTTGCTTTTGTTGTTATCGTTGTTGTCATTATTGTTGTTGTTGTTTTTGTTTTTGCTGTTATCCTTGTTGTTGTTGTTGTTGTTGCTACGAGTATTATTATTACTGTATTGATTTCATTTATATTGTTATTGTTATGATATAATGCATTGCTTGCATAATCATTAATTACCTTAAACCTAGAGGCGAACAATTTAACTCAATGAGACAATTTCTGGTAAACATCAAGAAGTAAGGAAAATAATGAGAATAGATGAGGAAAACTATTATTACTATTATTATTATTATTATTATTATTATTATTATTATTATTATTA